TGCCTGGGCAGGGTCTCCTTCTCCAGGGAACAGAGAGCTGATAACCAGAACTGGAACCCTGGTTCACACCTCAGAGGATTTTCCATTCAGTCTAGTTTGGGGTCCAAGGATAGAATTGGGACTTTTAGAAACCCCTATGGTAAAAAGAAAAATAAAAACCAGACAAGACAGAATGCTTCTGTGAATTCAGTGATGTACTTACATTAATTTGTAGATTTAAAATTGACGACCTTATCTTCACACATAGGCAGAGTAGTGCTTATTCAGTAACTGAACCATACTTGGTGGATCTGCAAACTCATGGACTTCTTGTGATAACTCTATGGCCCTCTAGAGTCTTCTACCTTCAGTTGGGAACCAGTGGCCTCACTTTCCTTGTTTGAGCTATCATCGCTTCCCTGCTCTGCGGAATTCCGTGATTTAGTTTAGAAAAGCCGAGTGCGCAGAATGACGATATCTTAATGGCAAGGCTATGTTAATAATGCCACAAACAGGAAGTATACTGACTATGTTTGCAAGAGCAGGCTTGCAGCAAGATGCTTTGTGTGTAAAGCAAGTGGATCTGACTGTGTGTAATACCGCAAGGCATCGGTCCTTGATCTTGGGAGGCTTGAGCCATTGGCCAGCTCTCTGTCCCCTCCTCCTCCCCTCCTTCCTTTCTTCCTTTTTTCTCTTTCTGAAACAGAAGCTCCTCAATGGAGCATAAGCTTCTTGAGGGCTGAGATCTTCATTTGTTTTTACTGCTGTATCTCCAGCCATAAAATAGTGCTTGTCACCTAACAGACACTTAGTCAATACTTATGAAGTTCAGTTCTTCCCTTCTTTCTAGCAATCACATGTTTGTCGAGCACCTGACTGGGCCTGGCCCTGTGCTGGTTTCTGGGGGTACAGAGCCAAGCTCGAATGCAGCCCCACAGTCCAGTGGAGAGAGCACCAAATCATCATACTGCTGTGGAGGGAAGCCTGGGGGGCAAGAGAAGGCAGTAGAGGTGCACCTGACTCAGCCTGGAGGCCTGGAAAAGCTTCCAGGAAGCTATGATGGCTGGGTTCTGAAGGATGACCTGGAGCCAGCCAGTTGAAGAAGGAGGGGGAGGGAATTCCTGGCTCAGGAAGTAGCCTGTGCAAGGCCTGGATATGTGAGAGGGCTAACGTGGGGGAGGAACTAACTCAAGTGATTCAGGAGGACAGGGTGCAAGGCGCCTCCTGACTCAGAATGAGCCCTCAGGGTGGAGGTGGGGTGGGGAGGCCCTTACATCCTGTTTGTTTGCCAAGAAGCTGGATACTGGAGAGTCTGGGGGAGGCTAAAATGAAGTCGTAATAGTAACTGCAGATTTTCTTGATCTACATTCAAGTTTTCATTATCCTTGGGCAGACGAGACGTGGGTGACCTCAGCCTCTCCATGCTTTGCAGAGTCAGGTCCTGGGTCCCCTAAGAAGTCCTGTCCAGGAGCGGCTCCAGGCCACAGTGAGAAAGAAAGAGGGAGAGAGAGCAAGAGCCTACCTGCCTGAATGTCCCTGGCTGTGTGTCCAGTTGTACTCCAAGGCTAAATATATTATTCAAGGCCCTGCTTTTTGGTGAGTGGGGACATTTGAGGTTTGACTGTCTCTTTTATTTTTTTTCTTTCTACATAGCATAGATTCTTAAGAATGGTCTGTAATTCATCTAGAGGAAAATCAGAAAAATACTTTTTTTCTTTGGAAAATGGACTCGAAGAGATCAGTTTAAAAAATGATTCAGCTGTTTTTATTTTAACTGAAATCGTTTGCTTCTGAGAACAGTGTAATTAACTGCCTGGCAATTTATAGTCTGCTTCTCAGGATCTGCAAAATAGCCAAACTGATATTATCCTCCCCAACTAGCAGGCTCTGAGGGGAGTGAGGTCTCCTTCATCAACAGGCCTCGGCTCCCTCTGCTCTTGCAGGAGGCCATGTGTCACAGTTGTCAGCAACTCCAGTGGCGTTTTTATTTTGTCTTGTCCCCCTTGACCTAGTAATTCTACTTCCAGGACATATGCTAAAGAAATAATCAGATATTGTGGGGGAAAATATTTGAGGATGCTCACTGCATTTTTTGGTCGTTTATATTAACCGGAAAAAATGAAAGTAACTTAAAGATTCATAATAGGGGTGTGGTTATATACATGTCGACAGGTCTGAGTGATAGAATACTATACAGCTGCGAAAAATCATGCTTGAAACAAATATATAAGGATATGTGGAAATGCATAAAATAGTGCTAAGTGAAAAACCAAGGTATGAAATTGCATATACGACAATATTATTCAAAATAAAGCACACAGTACTGGGTAATGAGGACAACAGTGGCTATCTTTATGGGATTATGGGAGTGGGTTTTTTTTTCTTAGACTTTTCTGTATTTTTCAAAGTTTCCTAAGTGAACATGTATTAGTTTTAATAAACAGAGGCTCTTCAGGGTCGGGAGCAGCAGCTGTGGCTTGTAGTCTCACTTGCCCAGCCTGTCTCTGAGCCGCAGTCTCTCATCTGTAAAAGAGGTTAATGGTTTCCACTTCAGAGAGTTGTAGTGAGGATCCAAAATAACGTATGTAAAACCCCTGACACATATGCCACACTCACTAAATACTAAGATGATATTCCATGAAGCCTTTAGATATCCCTAGGTGGGAATACTGTCAAGATGAAGTTATAGTAAGAGTGTTTCCTAGACAGCTCTGAGTTGCAACCGTTCTTCCCTTTTCTCAAGTATGTAGGGAATGCCCGTATGCCCACAGAGGAGCATCTAGCTTTTGAGGCTGTCAGCTCATCTCTCCCAACTCAAGGATTTTCTTCTCCTTTGACTCTTCTCTTCATTCTCCCCCACTGACATCTGTTCACTGCCTCGTCTACCAAAGGGGAAAGCATTCTTTGGAACTAAAGCTGAGGCACCACTGAGAGTCCTTGCAGCTATGAAATACTTATTGTCACTGGGAATAATAGGTGGCGCTGGCTGATCACCACGCCTGCCAGGCTGGGCCCCAAGGAGGGGCTATAATGAAGCAGTGGAGGGTGGATTCAGGCCACACAGCTAGGCAGTGTCCCCTGCCTTTGGGCAGAGCTCTCCTCCAAGTATCCTGCTGGCTCTCTGTTTACCTCTTCCCTCAGGCTGTCCGCATGGCTCCTGCCTTGGCTCACCAGTTTTACAGACCCAGGTTGGTTTGCGGGTGAAGAAACACCTTCATCTCACCAGACTTATGGAGCCTAAGGTCATCTCAGTGACTCATTTGCCAGTTTGCCTGAGGGTCCAACAGGCCTAACCCTCACCAGCAGGGGTATGGAGCACGTAAGCTCTGATCTTACAACCAGGCAGCCTCAAGGTCACGGGAACACCTTGGCAGTGTCTGCAGCATGCAATTCAGTCATCTCTCAGGGTAGAGTGCTTTGCACTGCTTGTCTGATGGCATTTTTCATTTTTTAAATTACAGTAAAAAATATAGACCCTGGCTGCAAATCCGAATTACCGGGAGAGCTTTGAAAAATTAGTAATGCTGTGGCCCCACCCGTACCAACAGAACCAGAATTTCTTGGGGACGAGATCCAGGAATCAGGATTTTTAGAAGGTCCCCAAGTGATTGTAATGTGCGGCTGGGATTGAGAACCACTGTTAAGGTACAGATGGATAAAGCTGGAAGAGAGCAGCCCAGAGGTCCCTAAATTTGTTTGACCACATAATCCTTGAAAAGTTATAATAGCTTTGTGGGTAATGATCATGAACTATAATACAGGCTTAGATTAAAGTAAGTGGCAAGAAATGGTTTCACAGATGAATTAATTGTAAGCCGCAATAACACCGAGTTACATAATATACTTTTTAACTTGGAAAATTAGAAAAATGAAGCCATTTTATTTTCTCAACAAGAAAAATAAATATATGTTAAAGTAAAGTAAACTGTCTTTAATTTTACATTTTTTTTGGTTATAATATGTCATCAAAAACCACTAACATTTTCTATAAGAACGATGGTTTCGTTTTCTTATGTCATAGCCACTTATTGTCACATATGACATTACTGGGTTGGAGCATTGCATCAGGTCAACCTCAACATCCTTCTCTTTGCAAGACAATATAAAGATCTCCCGTGCACAGGGTTGCTGGAGTGCAGGGAAGAGGAAAGAGACTTCCGGTTGGTGATATTTCATGTTCGAAATCAAGCTTTGTGAGAAATCACAAGTAGAAGTCCAAATGGTTGCTGCCTCTGAATCAAAGTCTCAATCAGACCCCATGCTCTCCCGCATTCATGCAGGTAGATTACTGCCTTAATAATAGTGAGAGCAGCTGTGTAGATAGATCTGTTTAGTATTTTTAAAAGCCATATCTACTTTAGCAGATGTAATTTGGAAGAAAAAGTATTTATCTTTTAGTTTTATCACCTTCATTACCGCAATAGAAATAGTTTTAGAATGTGGATCTAAGCTGCCCAGACAAAGGAAGAGGACTGGATCCAAAGGCGTCTCGGTGGCCACACTGACTTTTGGTGCTAAACCTCTCCTGTGGCCATTTTGGGGTCCTGAGATATCCACTTAGGTGACCCTATCAGCAGCCCCCGAGAAATGTTGGGACAAGGGGGACGAGGAAAAGAGAACTCTGTGGGCACTTTCAGTATCCTCCCTCCCTGCTGTGACCAGAGGGGAGAGATGCTAAAGGCAGTAACTGAGGCCGAGGGTGACAGACAGGCAGCAAGAAGAGGCAGCAGCATTTCAGAGGACTCTGTTGAAGAAGCCTGAGAAGTATGTTTTCTGGAGGAGTTCCACTCAAAATGGTGAAAACTAAAGAAAACATTCAATACTAAAAACTGGGGAAGAGTCCAGCTCTTGAAAAACTTTGTTAAGAAAGAGTCATGTCTTGAGGATCCTAGATAGCTAAGTGTCACTGCATTCCAATTTCTAGCCTGTATTACGTCTTGGAATAATGAGTTACATAAGTTTACTCCCCATCGTGAAGTTTTTTTTACCATAATTCCGACTTAATGAAAATGGTAGATTTAGGAAACAAATGTTATCGACTTGCACAGACTTGTGCCTGGACTATCAGATGCACGGGAGGGAAGGGAGGGGGAGGGGGAGGGGGAAGAGACAGTGAAAGCAAAGAGCCTCTTCATTCTAATAAGCATATATTGAACTCTTGTTACATGCCAGTGGGAGCCGGTAGCATATATGGCAAATGGGTGTCCCCTTCAGGTAGAGCGGTGGCAAAAAGGGGGCCCCCTCTGGATGGACTCATGAGGGAAACCCACCTCTTTGGGTAGAACCTTTAGACAAGGGCACCTTCTCTGAGCATAGCAATTAGAAAAAGTCCCTTGTTCTGGTCAGAACTATTAAAAATTAGAGCATCCTTTTGGTGGACTAATTTTAAAGTCACCTTCTCTGGGCATAATAATTAAATCAGAGTGCCCCTTCCTCCATGTGCAGTCAGACAGGACTTTGGGTTTCTCTGAATTTTGGCCCCAACTTGAGACTCCTAGGCAGGATGCCCTTGTAGGGATTCAACTTGCACGGAAGCACAGGAGATCCTACAGTGCCCTGAGCTGGGCCAGACCCCAGGCGTACAGATCTATGTAAGAGCTAGACCTTGTTCTTGAAGAATTTGTAGAACTCCCCCTCTTAATCTCCACCCTCATTAACTCACCCCATTGTCTGCCAGCTCCACCCATGCTGCACCCCTCTCAGCAGAGCTTGTCTGTGGTGACAAAATGTCTACCCTCCAGATGCATGGGCTGCAGCTCCAGGCTAAATATCTCTACAATGAACAACTAGGGCTAATTGTTCGCTGTGAGGGCGCATCGCTTATGGATTTTAGATGGGAAAATATGGACGTAACTTTATGCTTCAGTATCTGTTTAAAAACTGTGTTGTGTTCTGTTTAAATGTGCTTTTAAATGGTGAGTTTGGGCATAGCTGAGGTGTTTTTCCCCCTTTTTCATGTTCTTTAATAAAAGAAAGCAGTTTATCTCTAATCTGGTGATTAAGAGCTGGCTTTAAGGACTAATTCCTACCTAGCTCATTGTACTAAGACTGTGCCAGGCCCTATGCCAGGTAGTGGTGACACTGACTTGCTAGACTTACCTTTTGCTCTTCTGTCTTAACAGTTGGGAAGACAGTTTAGAAGGAGACAACCTCACTGCAGATCGCTGGGTCTTATGTGAAAGGCATAGAGCTTAGAGGCAGGGAAAGCCTCTCTCGTCTTTCTAAAAACTCCTGTTCATCCATCAAAACTCCCATTCGGACACTCCCTCCTCTTTACATCCTTTTCTGACTTCCTCTGTTATGTTCCTGCTGGGCTTCGTTCACTTTTGCAACCCTTGGCTCCTCCAGGTGGCCCAGCTTTAGAGGAGATAGTTGACACAGACTGCCAAATATGTATCGATCCTTCTTATATTCATTTTTATTTCTTTTCGTTTACCACCTCTGGAGAGTAACATGACCTTCTTCTTTGAAACTCAGTAGAACAGCCTGGCCTTCTTGGGCCTAAGAAGAACTGGAAGCTAGAAGTTAGCATTCTCTCCCTAGATGAGAAAGCTTGGATTAAAGATTGTGTGGATTTGCAAACAGGGGAGCAGAGC